AGGGTTTTATTTTGCAGGTGACATTGCACTCCATGATTATCCACGTTATTGTTTAAGATTAGCAGGATATTTGCATCTTTAATGCTTGTCCTCTGTAAATCCAATGAGCAGCTTGTTTACACACGGAGATATAATAAAGTCTTTAATTTTCCTACTAAACATATCTCTAGAAACTAGACTCTAAGGGCATGTGTATTTTGAAACCTGAGAATCTGCTACTGTTTACCAGCAAAGCAGAAATAAATCCTGTAGAATATACATATGTCAGGAATGTACATAACAAATCTCAATCTGAAAGGAAAATATTTGTTTTGATGAACAACACACACTTGAGTGGCACAAGTTCAGCAGTGATGCAAGTTGCCTTTTTAAAATGGTACTAAAACCACCTTTTGATTATTCTTTCATTTCATTATGTCAAATTCAGGGTGCACAATTTATCTTTGCTTACTGCCATTATTTTGTTCAGTGCATTAAAATGTACCCATTTGTTGTAATTCTTCAGCCCAATGAAGTGTTAATGTCACACTTGGGTATCTGTGATGAAAAGAAGCAAAAGGAAGAAGTTTAACTGATACAAATGAGCAATAAAAACTGCTGGAGGTCTTTGCTGAAGACACAGATTGCTTTCAAAATCCTTGCTTTTCACCTACTTATTACTCAATTCACTCAATTACATCTATTAGACAAAGCACAATCACCCCTGTAACAATTCCATAAATAGTGGTGGCAGATGCATACAGCCCTAATGGATAGGATAAACTTGGCATGCTAGATAAAACTTTAAAAAGAAGGATTTTACACAATTTGACTTGGATTTTTTTATAAAACTGTTAAAAGAGCTGTCAGTCAGGACATAGCTGATCCTTAGGCAAGGGTCCATTAAGAAAAAAACACACCTAACTGGAGCAGAAATAACAACCTGAGCCCTTGTATGCCTCTTTTTGGCTTTAATTTTATGTACTGAATACACAAACTGTGATTTTAATGACTCTTTTAGGTTTGAAAATTTTGGGGGAGCATCCCAGGGGATCCTAGGAAATCCTGCATACTTACTATTGGATCCATCTGGTCCCAACAGCACCCATCATATCTGAAAATTAGACCTGGAACTGAAGAAATGTGACACTTTCTTTGAGACTGGAGATCTTCCTGCACCGACTGTGCCATGCCTGATACTCCACGAAGTTTATTTTGTTTTTTTCAATATTACTGTGCATTGAAGAGCTCTGCCTTTCAGCACAGGGAGAGGCTCTCTGTGAATACCTGAGGAGTGCACACCTGACACAAACATCAGGCTGACAGGTTGTCAGAAGCTCTGGGGATCAGCAAATGTAAGAAGTACAACAAAATATACAAGGAACAGGGAGAACCCTCCCACTGAGCCTTGGCAAACACAAGATTTGAGCTCAGTATTTATCAACACCAGGAAGATCCATGCTGTCTTGCTAGCCCAATGTTTTGGTTGGTATTTCTGTAGAGGGAAAAGCATGCAAAACCATGACATGAGCAGTATTTATGGAATCTTTTTATGACTCTGGTGAGGCTGACCATCTCATGGAGAGGACAATATGCTTGAATGTTTTTCCACCTATACAGTGCCTAAAGTAACAAAGTCTCTGTTCTTACATTAACCTTTTAGATGCCACTGCTGTGTAATCTATGAGTATTACCTTTAGTAGCAAAATATGATCATCAGAAAACACACAGAAATGTTCCACACAAGTATACATTGCAAGAGTGGAAAGCAAGAAATGGCTAGAGGTAAGAAAAAACCGAATTTCTTCCGATTTTCCCATTAAAAGAATGACAAATTATAAATCCAAATAATTATCAGTATTATAATTATGCTGTGAGAAACAAAGAGAGATAAATGAAAAATAACAACAGCAATCCTATTTTATTCCTAGACATTTATTCTGCAAATAGAAAATCTGTCCAGGTTTACCACTGGGAATCAAAGAAATATTTCAGGTACAATAAAACTCAGCGATTTTCTCCTAACCCCAAATCAAGTCCCAGGGTAACTTTTGCAAAGCAGGATGTTCCTCAACCTATTATTTTTCATTCTGCCTAAATTTCTGGATAAGACTAAAACACCCTGATTAAAGCTGTGCTTGTGTATTTCCAGCTCAGTTGGAAATTGAGATCATGGGGAACCTGTGCTGTTGTCAGATTTGCAGTTCAGTGTCAGGAAGTCCAGGTAAGAGGGATGAGCATCAAAACTACAACATTTACTGTATTGAACAACCTGCCAATGTCAATCATGATTACTTAAATTTAGTCAAATATCCTACACCAATTATTAAAAAAAATAGAAATTTGAATTCTGCATTAAGTTTGATTACATTACTTCTCATTATAGATGCATAATGTATCAATTATGCCCAAATATTGCTCTATGACATTGACTGGATGAGGCATTTATTTCTTTTAAGTACCTTTATACAGTAAGAGACTATAGCTATGGGGATGTGTGTGCAAACTACAGAAAAAAAATTATATATAAAAGATGTATCAGCTCCTCTGCAGTGGAGAAGCAAAGGAAGGTTGCAACACTCCTGCAATAAAGAAAAAAATCCACCTTTCTTTTTAATTCAAGTTCTAGGACAGAAAACATAGCATAGACCCAGAGAGCTGTGAATTAGGACAAACACAAGGCTAAAAGTGATGCCTAAAACTTCAGCAAATTTGTCAAGTGCTTTGATTGAGGTTGAGAATATGAGTCCAAATGGGTATACAGGAAGCAATCATTTTTTCATGAAGAATACGTCCTTTACTGTGCACACAAATTCTTCCTTCAGAAGGCTGTAAATTACAGTATTTATGGAATCTTAATGATCTAAACACAGTTGGAGCCTGAAGGTCAAGGCTGCAAACTGCATCCTAAATTTCTGTTTACAGATGAAGCACAGTATTTATTGCTGTACTGCTTGTGCTGCTATAGTTAAAGGGCTGCCAGCATTTCCATTATAAACCACTATTTCAGGGGTTTATAACTTGCCTATCAATCTTCTGACTGGGATGAAACATGGCATACAAGGTCCTGGCTGTGAGACTGATTTTTTTTGTTTGTTTTCTTTACCAAATGACAAAAAGAATAAGCTTAATGTTTATAAACCAAAAAAAAAAGAAAAAAAAAAGGAAAAAGGATATCAGGTTTTTCAAGTATTTCTAGTGTTCTCAGTACACAATTATAGCTTCCCAATACAAAACACATTCACATAATTCATCAACTAATAGAAGAACTTTCAATCCCTAAAAAATGAAAATTAATCTAAACAAGACTTACTGTTAGATGCTTTTTATTTTTTAATTAAACAAATGTACTGCAGATTTTAAATGGCAGCAAAGGACATCAGCAATCTGACAGTGTCCTTGATTCTCTTTATCTGTGTAGATTTACAATTAAAGGTAACAATTACACACCTTGGCACCGTACAAAGGTTGTATTCTTTTTAAATGAACATCTAAATGATGATACACAAGATGTCCTTTACTGTTGCATATTTCAGATGATGTCAGGTAAAATTATTCAGACTAAAGTCAAAGCCAATGTTTTCTCCTAGACATTGAAATCTTGTACTGTTAAATCTTGTATAAAATTTAATTAAATTGGAGGGCAACAAGTACAACGTTTTCACTTCCACAGTGTCTACTATGACAATGTGAAAGTACTTTTGCTCTGTACTACTGTGGAGAGCAGGTGAAAAATTTGTTACATTATGTTTGCATATCTAGTAATTACATTTTGGTAAATAACAAAATTAATAATGCAAGCACTGCAAGAATTCAAATATTAGAAGACCTCAAAAACGTTCTCCTTATAATCTTAGGCTTTGATATAATTTATTTTTACAAATTAAAAACTGGGACTGATTCAACAATGTTGAATGTTGCTGCTGCAATGCAACACATACATATTACATTATTATTACACAGTTTTATGGCTCCTTTGCAACACCATACCAGTTCACACAAGACAGACAACACTGCTAAACCTGGAATATTGGACTTTATCTAATCCCATTTTAGCTTATTTCTTTATGTTATAAATCCAGTCACAGCAGGAAGGAAATAAATTAGCCCCTCCCCAAATGTAATTATTCTATTTTCTTTATTACAGCTGTAGGGCTTTTATTCACTGACACTTTTGAATTTCCCATAACTACCTTGCTTTTTTTCCCCCCTTTGCTTTTGTTAAAAAATGACTGCATTTGTTTCATGCCATTGCTAATAATTGGAAGAATCCCTCTCATGGCTGGAGCTTTCTGCTTCTGTCTGTTTGATGTCCACTTTACACATTCACTTGTGTGAGACATTTGATAATTTTTCCCATCAAGTAAAACCTAAGAACAGTTTTGCGACTTTGGTTGGTTCTGGTGAGAGACAGAGACCTGCAGACTTCTTTCTTACAAAGTAAAAGATGGGATGACTACGACATCTTAAAACCAACCTGGGTAGTGCAGCTGAATACATACCAGAGCATAGTTCCAAGCAGAGACAAGATGTTGTGAACATTGACTGACTCAGGCCTGCTCATTAACTGCAATGTGCTGCCTGTAACTCGCTGAAATGCATCCAAGAACGCTGCTATATAATTAAATATGCTAAATAATGCTACAGAGTATCTTGTACAATTCTGAATCTTCAATGAACTGTACGAAGTTTTAAATAAAATATAGGTGGAGCTTGTCAAGCAGCATTAGACTTCAAAATATTTTCTTCTTCTGAAAGCTTCCTGTACCATCTGACACACGTTTCTGCCATGCTGCCATCACACCGTATGTCTCGTTAGCAGCAATGTCATGACAGAAATGCTACAGTGCTGCATTCTAATGACCCCTTGCATTGTAATGAATTAATGTGTTCTGCAGAAAGGATGTGAGAGGAAAAAAAATTAGCTTTAATGTTGGGTACTCACTGAGGTTTTCTTTTTAAAGACAGTTCTGCAAACCAAGCAGTGGTGAACACCACTTCAAGAACACCATGTGCCGTACCTGTAAAGCCCTGGAGGAGCCTGGTGAACCAGGAAGCTTTTCTCCAAGCCTTGCAGCACATCATTGAGCATCCTGACTCGGACAGGAGCTCGCTCCTGGGGGTCATTGGCCGGGCGCATCTCGTCCGACTGGAACAGCTCCGCCGTGTCCCTGAGCTGAGAGGCCACTGCCAGCAGCTGAGGGACTCCTGCTTCATCACCTGGGAACAGGGACAGCAAGACAGTCACCACTGATTCACAGACCACTTATTACTCCAGCTTCCAAGTCAAAATTAATAGTCCAATTAAAACCTGAGCCTCTTTTTCCCCTGTGAGCAGCACGCACTGGGTCAAGGGAAGCCACAGATCATTCTGTGTAACCTCTGATCTGTTCCTCAAAGATCAATTTGGGCTCTGATGCTTTAAGAGCTAATAAGCTGTGAGGAATGATTTTTAGGGTACAGCTTGAAATCTAGCATTGAAAAAAAAGGCATGCAGGAAGCAATGGTTATAAATCAAGAACTACATTTCCTTCCGAGACTGAATTTATTCAACACCATTTGATGCTGTTGCTCTTGAGTCTGAAAGCCTGTGCTTGGATTCCATAATCACTGCTCTATAGAATATTGTAATATGCAGAGTTTAATTGAATTTGATTCAACATTTTAGAATCTTAGCAGTTAACAGCAATTGTAGAGAGTATGTGAAATCGCTCCTCTTAATCACTTAAGTCATATGCCAATGAGCCAACTTTAATTGATATCCTAATGCATATTCTAATCCAGTCAATATTTTCAAAACTTTTTAAACTTGAGTGTTAACTATTGCTTTTTTAGCAACCCCACTCAGACAGCAAAAGAATAAAAGCCTGCAGCACGTAGGAGCACACCATGATTTCAGTATTTCCCTGTTCATAGTCCAGAAAGAGAAATGTGAATTTCAGCACTGTGAATGTGCAGCCTCCTCCCACCTGCAGTGCAGGTGAAGAGTGTGGCCTCCTTTCCCAGTGTGTGCATGGACTGCCTTCATCTTTCCAAGCACATGGAGAGAGAAAGCAGAGCCTGAACCTGATAGAAAGTCAAAAGCAGTATCGGTCAGCACAAACATTTCCAGAATGCAGAAATTATCTTTAAGGTCAAGATTCACTTTTCCTATTGGCAAGAAATCCAACTGTCCTTAGATTTTTCAAATAATGCCTTAATCAACATAAACCATGCAGCTCTAGGAGCTCTACTTGAATGTGCAAACCTCAGGGAGTTCTGCACCTTAGTGACTGAGATAATTAAGCCAAGAAAGTGGTTCAGGACTCAAGTTTAATGAATTTTCAACTTCCTTGTCTAAGATACACATGGAAAAATCACAAATAGTAATTGGGGAGCATTGACATGGTTTAACCTCTGCTGGCAAGTAAGTACCATGCAGCTGCTCACTCACAACCACTGGCTTCCCTGATGGAATGGGGAAAAAATCAAAAAGTGAAAACCAATGGGTTAAGATTAGAACAGTTTAATAATTGATATATGAAGATGATGATCATAATAATAGTAATAATATAGCATCAAAAGAGAGACATAAAACCCAAGACAGACAAGTGATGAGGAATTTTATTGGCCTGACCATGTTCAGCCTGGCCCCAGCAGCAATCAGCCTCCTTGGCCACCTCAGTTTAAACTGAACATGATGTTCTCTGGTATGAAATACCCCTTTGGCCAGCTCAGGTCAGCTGTCCTGACCATGCTCCCTCCCAGCTTCCTCTAACTCCTCTCTGGCAAAACATGGGAACCTGGAAAGTCCTCAGGGTAAGCACTACCAAGGAACAACTGAAACATCAGTGAATTGCCAACCTTCATCTCATCCTAAATCCAAAACATAGTACCAGCTACTAGGAAGAAAATTAACTCTATTCTAGTTAAAATCAGGACAAACACCAATCCATTTCTCAAATTATTCATGATTGGAGTCTGAAAGGTGAGTACATAATAGGAATGGAAAAGCAAACAGGTATAACTAAGAAATCCAAGGAAGTGCCTGAATGTAATATATTCTCCCTCTCATATGGAAAAAATGATTTGCTATTGGATACATTCCAGCAAAGGAAAATGAAGTTCATAGATCCCATATACTCCTGTCATTCAGCTGACTAGCACATTCCAATCTAGCAAAACGTGAAATGATCCAGAATACACAGAGAGACAAGATGCTGGAGTGAGAGAAACTGTCAGATTTCCTGAGATATCAAGAAGAATTTCAACAATGAACAGAATGAATGTTCCCTGGGGGAACAGGAGTGAGAGAAGATGGTTTATGTCTGCCCTGGTTTGGGACAAGGTTCCTTTGCTAATGACACTTGACCAATCCACCTTTGCCTAAGCAGAATGGATAACAGGCATGCTGGTATCTTGATATAAAGGGTTGGTATCTCTCTGAGTCTGCAGTAATTGAAATTCTGATCAAGTTAGGTTGATGCCTCAGAAAAATATTCTCCAAGCATATAAGCTTGCCACATTTAAGTTATTTGCAAAATATAATTATCCTTAATTTTCAAATCTCCGGTGCATCAACATCCTGTGCAGCTGAAGAACTTCCCATTCTCAAGTACATAATGCAGGCACTGTGCATACCTTATCCTGGGACTTGTGTCCATATGGAAATGTTCAAATTCACCCTGTTAGAAAGAATCCTTTGGTTTCAGCAAAGCACTTTGTATTCCAAGTAACATAAAACTTTTGTAGTTTTTATCCTGAATCTTATGTAAACAATTGCAAATCTCAGCTTTGTCTTTTTAATCGGGAAGGTGAGATAAAGGGAAAATCCATCTTTCTGCATTTGGAAATGAAGCCAAAAGACTGTCCTTTTAAACATAAAAATCCTGTAAATGCTCTCACTTGTTGTCCACAGCCCCTAAAACAACTCTTTGTTTTACTCTCTAAACGAGTACTTGTTCGAAAACACACACCCAGGCCCTTTTTTAATGCTTCAGTATAAAACCTTCAAGGATGGGCAGTGTTACCTCAGCCAACTAAGGACAGAACAGGCATCACATCACACTGAACTGCACCACCAAGGAAAAATGATTTATGCTTTTTTCAGGCTGAGAAGATGGGAATGGAAGGGCAAATGATTCTTCAAGAAAACCCTGCATTAACTAATGATGTCTTAAGGACTTGTGACGCTTTTACAGAGAAAATCAAGCACAAGTGTTACCTTGTTTAAGAGAAAACAATGCCACATTATTATATTTTGTATTTTGTCCTTTTGTCTCCTGCGTGAATCATGATGAATCATCTAAGCTAGTTGTTTAGTTGCTATAAAAATAAAATTGCAAACACAGGAAAGTGACTCAAGAGCATGTGCACTCTTGATCAGGGAATTACACTGTTGAATTTCATTGCATTTGCTAAATGTAACTGGATCCTATTCAGAAACAAGTTACACCAAATAGATATTTTTACAGACACCGAATACAATAGCTTTTCCCTGTGTAACTGATTGCTCTTATGAAAAGCACAGCTAGGGATTTAACATTTTTAAATTGTGTTTGTGCCCTCTGTTATGAAAGTACTTGCCTACAATTACTTAGAGGAAAGGGAGCACAAACAAATCAGCATTTTAAGGCATGATGCTTGCTTACCATATATGTGAACGTGTGTTTGCATGTAAGAGAGAAGGAAAATGCTCCAGGTTTTGATTAGCTTGCAAATTCTGAATCAGCTATGATGTGCTGCTGTATTCACTAGGAAAATTTCTCATGCTCTGCAAAATAGGATAAGCAGACCTGGCAGTAGAAAATCTGAATGGGAAAGCTTTGTAGGAAGAACCCTAAAGGGGCAGAAACACAAATCCACAGACATCCCTAGTGCAAAGACTGTGTTGCCATCAGCTTCAATTTTGTTACCATGACTGCTGTAGCCCAAGTAAGCTAATCTGGTGCTGCTCCAAGACTTTTCTCAAAGAAGTTACGTTAAAGAGGAATGTTGTGACATTTTACTATGTGCATGTCAACCCAGGAGCCTGGAGAAGAGCAGGCTCCAGGGAGAATTTACTGTGCTCTTTCAATACTGAAAGAGGGCTTTATAAGAAAATTAGGGACAAACTTTTGAAATAGGACAAGGGGTAAGGGTTTTAAAACAAAAGATTAGATTTAGACTAGGTAAGGAAGAGATTTTTTACAATGAGGATGGTAGAACACTGGGCTGCCCAGGGAGGTGGTGGATGCCCCATCCTGGAAACATTCAGTTGGATGAGGCTCTGAGCATCCTGATCTACTGGAAGACTTCCCTGTTCACTGCATTGGACTAAACGACCTCTAAAAGGTCCCTTCCAACCCAAACTATTCTATGATTCTGTGAAGTTATCAATGACTTTATACAGAGCTGCTGAAACTTATGCCCTACTAACACAGAATAGATACTCTCCTTGCCCTTCAGAACTAAATGTTTGTCCATGGAAAATGTGTTTTTCCATGGCTGTTTTTTTAAAGGCTTAAGAAAGGTACTAATACATAATAACCTCGAATGGATACTGAAGACAAACTGCCAGTGTCTCATGACAAAAGAGATATTTGCATTAGCATTTTTCACCTTTATTGCAGTCAAGAATAAAGGGTGGGAACAGTAAAGAGGGAAGTTTTCTGATCATTACAGACAGGAGGAGAGAATAACTCTGAAAAGCACCCAAAATGATCAGGGAAATACAGTCAAGCAGGTAAAATGATGCCAAGCTGAAGAACAGCAGATAGCTGTAGGCAATGAGCATGCAGCCATCAAGTGAATGAGAGAAATATGTTTCTCTATTGATTTTTCTAAGGACAGAGAATTCAGCCTGATGTTCTGAAATGTATGGGTAAAGACAGGGCTGTGGAAAGTCAGGCAGACTTCCCTGGGAATGACTTATTGTAAACCAGATTATTTGAAATTTCTGCTACTGCCGCCTACTATTATCACCCCAAGTACTTCAGCTGCTGTAACATCTGTAAAACATCCATTCTGGGGAGAAGAAAGGGCCTAACTGATAGGAATTCACACACAGCTGACACTGCATCAGCCACAGAGCTTTAAATCACAGCTCTTGGAAAACCAGAAAATCTCATCCCTCCTTAATTTGTCTTCATAAGCCTCTCCCTCTCAGCCAGTGCCTATCAGAGCTGGCCACAATTTGCTCCAGCAGCCTGTGCTGACAGCCACAAGTGGGGTCTCACCTCACCTGCCTGGTGCTGCACAGCCACAACTCAGAGCTGGGGCACAGACACCGATTTTAAAAGCTTTGCATGAGCCCAAGTGACTGGCAATAATAAATGACATCAGCTTCAACAGCACCCAAGCAAGAGACACCACCAACCCGGCAGACTTTATTTTGGTAAACTGGGTGGCTGAACTTGTACAGAAGTGCTTTTAATCCTAAAGAGATGCCTGAGAATCTCCATCATCAACTCCTGAAACATGCTGTAACATACACTAGATTTTAAACACAGGCTACAAGGAGCACAGTGCTAAGAGCTCCCAGCACAAAAATACAAATATGTTCTGGATAAAAATGTTAGTATTCATACAAAACACTTCCATACAAATGATTGTACATTTTTACTTGCATATACATATGAAACACAAGAGTGCTTAAAAGCACTGTTTGTATCACTCACACACCAGATTTGACATCTTGTCTGCACCCTACCTCAAAAGATAAATTGGATTTTCATAGGATACAAGGCCTAGCAAGATATTAATGTATTTGATTCAAATTAAAACAGGTCTTGATTTTAAATGTATGGAAGGCACAAATCCCACACAACTGCAAGATGTAGCTAATGAGAAAATTTTAAGCAGTCACTTATTTATGAATTTGTCTAAAATATCACATCTGTGAACAGACAGGCAACAGCCTGACTAGCCCTGGGCACCTGGATTTCAATTTTGGAATGCCCACCTCCCATCATTTATGACCACAAGGTTTCCTGTTAAACATCAGATCATCAGCAGAGGAAGAAAAATAAATCTCTCCAGCCCCAATCCTTCCTTTCAGAGAAACCCAAAAGAAGTGGTTTGTTCCCAGGAGTTCTGGTGTGAGCAAGGGGAGAGAACACATGTCACTTACAGCCTCTTCCCCATCTTTCTGAGGACCAGGCCACGAACTGTATGAACGTGTTGGGGATGACATAACTTGCCATCCACACCATCCTGAATGTAAGAAATGGCCTGTGAAATGCATGGAATTTAGCAGAGCTAATTGTACAGACACCACCACATTACAGAGTTAAATCCTTTAGAGATGTAAATAAATGCAGTATTAACAAGTATCAAGGTATACACAATCTTTTGTGAGTGCATTCAGGAGGCTGCAAAACAGTGACTCAAATGTTTACACAAAATTTAACTTCAAGCATGTGAGAAAGTCCAACGGGCAATAAAATCTCTGTTCAAGGAATTGGCTGAACCAGATCCCAGAGGCACCAAATTAAGCCTAATGAACAAATATTTTACATGTCATGCAGATTTACCTTCACCTTTTCTACAATTACAGTTTGCATGGAGTTGGAGAAGGAAAGAGCTTACTAAGACATTCCAACTTTGAACTGGAAAGTTTGGACAACATAAAATCTTTTGAAGAATGAATAAACTCCTGAGCCACACAGAAAAAGCACAACTTCTCAGTTAAGTAACTGAAGAAGGACCACTGTCTTAATGTTTTCCAAAATGAAAAGAAACTGTTCTTTTATACAAGTTAGAGACAGACAAGACATGAAAGCCATGACAAAAATCATTAAACATAAATCTGAAGTGAATATCTGGGAGAAGATTTATCCTGCTGGCCCTATAGCCTAGGAAATAATTTCTCTCCAATGAAATGGTAGAGATTAATGATCTAACCGAAGTTAGAGAAAAAAAGTCGGTTTAAATCAACATTTCCTGTTACTCAAAATAAAGAAAAAGGAAGACCAATAGAAGATATCTCATGTTCAGTTGGAGGAATACCAGCTGAGCCACACTTTTCATTTGATGATCATCCCCCGCTGTGTTTAGGCTGAACTAAACCAATGTTTATGTGGCACAACAGAGCTAAAATTATTTGTCTTTTTAGTTGCTCACTGATTCCAGACCAATACTTGCCTACTGACTCCTACATCTTCACAATGATGGATGGCAAAGATTAAAGAAAAGGTATTGTACTTCTATGAGAATGTGTTACAGAAAAGTGGTGCTTTATAGTGTAGGGAGTGAATGAAATGCAGGGGTAGCACCTTAAGATTACAAAAAGTCTTTACATTTGAGATATGACCTCACAATTTGCTGAAGGATATGTGGAGTTCGGGTGTGATTTTATAGAACTTGCTTCTCTATTTAAGAGCAACTTCAGAGTTTCATAAACCTATAAACAGAAATATTTTTCAATGGTCTTATGACATTACAGGTAACCTGTATTGCTTAATTGACAAAGTAACATCAGAAGAAATATAAGAACTTTACGGCTTTCTTTAGCAACAAAACTTGCATTTTATTCAGCATTGTATAATGACCCTATTTAACTAGTAAAATCACTGGCTATTATTCAAGTATTGAAATTACGTATCAGGGACTAGATAATGCTTCCCCCCTCCCCGTATTAATGGGGAACAATATTCCTCTAATGAAAATTACCTTTCAGACCGTTCTGAACTTCCAATGCGATGTCGAGGGCATTGAATGGCAAAACTGGATCAGTGGCAATTTGCAAAGTCACTTGTCCTGTTAGCTGAAAAACACAAAAAGAACCAAAACCCAGACAAATTATTTCCAGCAGATTTAATAGCCAGCACTTCTTTTGGAATAGCACATGTTTTCATTACATTGTATTTTCAGAGAAATGTGATTAAAACCCCATAGGCACATATTTATGAAAAAGAACAGAACCAGAACCATTGCCTTTCTATACAAGATTACAAAATGTTCAGAGAATACAATTTATGACCACACACAAGAATTCTATGCAGTGTCTTCTCTGGACCTAGGATGCTGCAGGATTCTCTGAAGGACCTCTTTGCTTTGTTTCCAAAGAAAATATCTTAATACTCTAAACACGGGGACGAAGTTTTCAGTTTTACCTAGTTCTCTGGTCTTAGCTATTGGATTTTGAGAGTTTTCACAACTGAAATAAAGAATCACAGACACTAATGATCAGAAGATCAAGCCTAGGGCTGAATGCAAGCTGACCTGAAAACCCACTGCCTTTTGAAGTGTTATGTGACAGCTTGATGCACGCAGATGTACAAATTCCAGACTGGATAGAACATTGTTTTCTCCCAGTTACTCAGGGAAAGAAATTCCCCAAAGAGAACCCTCGGTCCAATCCAGACTAGACATCAGCACCTGGCACAAAAACTCAGTGGCATGAATGCTTCTTTTTGAACAGTTCACAGATAAGGCAGGGGCTGAGTGGCCTGAGAGCTTTTTTCTGCTTACAGAAGGTCAGTTCTCCAGCTCGAGGCTTAGACATGTTACAGGGGCTGTGTATAGAAATACATCTTTCTGCTGAACTACACCTAGCTGTGATTAAACAGAGGATTTCAGTCTCCAGGCTGCCAAGTCGATCACTGTTCATGGGAGCTATAAAAACACACTGACAAAAACATGCAAGAAACTTTCATTCATCTTCTTCATATCTTGATATTGCAAAAAGGGAAAGAATACCTGTAAGGCTGTGCTCTAAAATGGAATGATGGCTGCAGGTGATGGTGACCATGTTGATAAAAATGTGGTCTGAATAGAATCATATTGTACAATTCTTCCCAAGGTGTTGGGGGAGCAAGAATAATATCTATCCTTCAAAAGCAATATGACAGTTTCTGTGCCAAAAGTAGCTTTTTAATTTTACAATAGAAAGTAGCAGGAAAAGACAACAAGCCTCAGTAATATTAAAAACAATAGCACAGGAATTGAAAAGGAAAACCATCTCCCAGGAAAGTGGATGAATGCAGGGTAATATCAGAAATACAAGTTTCCTGGAGAAAGATTAATAGAACCTCACAACATTTCTCAGAAAGCACAGGAGAAATGACCTGGTCACAGACTGGTTTGGGTACAGAGATGGAGGGAACATGCTGTACACCAGACTGCAGCCCACATCTGAGCACAGATGTGCTCTGAAGCTATGGAGATTTACCTCTAGAGAAAACAATATCACAGAAGGCACAAAGAAAAAAACCCTACCTTATACTGAGAGAGAAAATATAGGGAGGAATAATGTTATGTCAGGCCATTATCAGGAAAACCAAAGAACTAAGAGTGAACTTAAAAAATACAGTGTCTGGACAGCTATGTTAAAGTATTACACAGTAACTTCTTATGAAGAAACTTCCCAGTTCCTCAAGCCATCAATGCTCAAAGGCCATTACAATATCTATCAGTGATTATACACAAAAGTGTCTGGAAAGCTTTAAAAAACACTGGTCTCAGAGATATCAGAGAGGTACTATGGAAAGCCAAAAAAATGAAACTGTTAGGGCAAACTAAAACCTGTACAAGATGTACCTAAACCATGTCCATAGAGTCCAACGATAAGCAACTGTAAAAAATCTGGTTCTAAATATCGAAATGCCACACAAAATCTTTCCATGTCCTGCAACATGTATTGCCCAGAACATGAGCACCCTGTGACTTGCTGCAGATGAGCAACTGTGACACTGAAATAACATCCTAATACAAAGCAGGTATTCTACAGGGACCTCACACCCACTGAACCCCAGCACAGCACCAAAGCACTCAAAACACTTAAACATTTCTGCTAAAACTTTCATAAATGCTAATACAAATACATATTCATAGGTATTTTAGAAAGGGACATCAACAGTTATACCTTGCTGCTGATAATTTACAATCTATTACCACAATATTTAAGAGCACAAAAGACAGGAAAAAAATCCTTCTTTTGTGAAGCAGGAAAGTGGTATTTAAGGACAATTCCCTAGTAAGAAACTTTCCTTTTTATCATTATCTTCTGCAGAATCTGGCTTCATTTTTATAAATTCTTTCCTTATTTCTGTTTCTTCCAAGGAATTTTAGTTTGCTTTCAACTATAGCAGACCAAATCTGTTTTCTTTTTCCTACTTAAATAAAGTGATACCATCCAAATCTTATGACTGACTGAAGCACTTTTAGAAATTTTATAGTCTCTGTCTAACACTGCAGACATCTGTGTGTTAGCAAACAGGTAGCAATGGTGTTTATTAAATCACGTACTTCATGGGCTAATCTGGAAGAAATCAATCATGTAAAGGAAAGCTCAGAGCATTGATTTGAACAGAGTAAGTAATAATGCTGCAGAAGCATATATCAAACTCACATAAAGCAGCAAGACAGAAAAGGCTACTGATTTCTTATTTATAGTCTTATTTTTGGATATACCATTCCCCTGAGCGCAACACTGAATATACATGGAAAATAAAGACAAGCTTCAGCCCCCTTTTCCCAGGTGAAAAATGCATCAGACTGACTACTGAATTATTAAATGCAAGAATAATTTAGCAAAGAGTAAAGACAACAATTTTCTCAAGAAGTGAAAAGCTAAAGCAGCATGATTGATTCTATTCCCATACTGAAGTGGTTAAAACACTAATGACAACTTCTCAAATAGCAATTATATATAATACATGTACAATACACACAATAATTGATGTAACATTTACACAATTATCAAGTCTAAGAAAAGATCTTAGAGTTCAAATGCTTATTCATCCCATAATGATTCTCTTTTTTTAAAAATGAAAAACTAATGACTAACACTTGCACTGCACTTGAGTGTGGGAAAGGTGCTTTTTGGTAAATTAAAATTTATTTGATGAACTTCCAATAGCTTTAAAAATAAGTATTAATATAAAATGTAACAATAATTGTAGAGTTATACTGTATTTGTTCTCTATGAGGGTGGGGAGGCCCTGGCACAGGGTGCCCAGAGAAGCTGTGGCTGCCCAATCCCTGGAAGTGTCCAAGGCCAGGCTGGATTTGGCCTGGAGCAACCTGGGCTAGTGGAAGGTGTCCCTGCCCATGGCAAAGCTCAAATATGAGTTTTAAGGTTTTCCAACTCAAACCACTCTGTGTTTCTATGCATACTGCAAAAAAAAAAAAAATCTGAATATTTAAAATAGGTTTATACCAAAGCAACATTATGTCAAGGTCTTTTACCTTAAGGCATAAACATCTTTGTAGGAAGGAAATAACTGCAGTCCCTGCCTTAACTTCTTTGATACTGTGTAGTTCCCAAAAGACAAAAAGAAAAACCACAAACTTCAAAAAAATGCTGGTGTTAAAGATGATTCAGCATCACATGACATTTCCAAATGAGTTGAAGGTTCTTTTCTCTTCCAGAGTTTTACAAACTATTCCTTCAGTGCATTCTTGCCATTCTACCTATCTATGAGCCTAATTTGATTATAAAAGCCAATTTTCAGCAACATCAAGTGAATGTTCCACAACACTTTCTAAAAGACTGTGACATAAAAAAAATACCTGGATTAAACACACACAATATGTTCCTCTATATAAATTATAAATATACTTCACCATTTTAGCTGTTTTACAATGCAAATAAGGAAATGAAATCAAGTGGAGTTTGGGGGGATTCATCACAGGTTGGGTTTGTTTTTTTTTTCTATTTCACAGCTGTTTTCTCAGGGAGTTAAACTCAATGCTCAAGACAACTTTCTTCCTCAGACATCCAAGCTGCCTACTAGCAACATAAAGCATGTCTGCTGGCATACAAATTCAATTTTTTAAAATATATGAATACTTTAAGCCCAGGCTGGATAAATGTGAAAGGCTCCACAGAGTCTCTCTTACACAGATGCAGTTTTGCTCTGGGGCCAGGCTGTTCCTGAGCCTGCCTTGCAAGGCCAGTCTATAGGGCTGGTTAGTCTGATGGTCTGGTTTTACTGACAAGGCAGGCAGGGCCACCCATCCTCCATTCTGCCATAGCAGCAGAAACTTGTAAGATGAATCAAATTAAAACATATTTAGTGGATATGAAGATATGAAAATATTATGCGTGAGAGAGATCAATCTGCTAGAATAAACATCAGCATGCAGTGTGCAGGCAGTTTCTTTAACACAGAACTTTACATGCCAGTCTTGGGGTTTTTTGGGTGTTTTCTGTTTAGAGAAATTTGAAACTGTGCCGTATCCAGCCTGTGCTATGCAAACCTCAGTGGGTGGAAGTGCTGAGCCTTTAGGACATTTTTAGTTACATTAGGAGTGTTAAAATCTAAACAGACATCTCAGATCCCTTCATATGCCAAGTTACAAACAACGTAACTTAAAAATCAGGTAAACTGCCACGTTTATCCTTCTGTAAACAGTCTTTAGCAGTGCCATACTCTAGTTTTACCTGCTGGAAAGAATTAGGCTCAGCTACTTGAAACCTGAGTTGTGCAGCAGCAACTCCTTTGCATTTCAAGCCCTATGCCTCCACAACATACTTTTAAAATTTTATTCTGTGCATGTCAACAACACTTTACTGACACCTGTGCACTTCCAGAGGAAACCAGCACACACATGGCAGCTAATTTACCAAAACCATGTGAGAGGAGAGGTAATGTAACATGGTAATGTGGCAGACCTGTGCAGATCCTCAGCTAGACTCAACATCCCTGTCCCTAAGACTGCCCAGTACAGAGCCAAACAAGCCTTGGGACTGAGCAGCTCTGAGCCTCAACTTCCTTTGATATCAGCATTATTCTTCTCAAGTCACGTTTGCCCTCACAC